GCCCGGGACCCCCTCGGGCATGGGGAGGGCGGGCGGCGGGGCGCTGCCGGGAGACCCGGTTGGTACAGGTGGCGCCTTCTCCTAGAGGGGGGTGTCCCCGACTGGCCCTCCGCCTCAGTTTCCTTCAGAAGCCGAGCAGGCGTTGGGGCTGAGGTCCACATTCTCCCCGTCTTATCCAGGCGGGGCGTGCGCATCACCCACCCCGCTTCGGGGCTCAGCTGAGGCCCCTTTGCCCTGGGTTTTGGAGGGTGCCCCGGCCTGCGAGCTGGGTGCTGGATATGGAGGAGTAGGGGCCGGGGTGTTCCTGGGGAAGCTTGCGCTGCTTCATTGCATTTGTCGTCAGTGTGCCTCCCAGGACCACACCCAAAGGAAAGTCTCACGTTGCCCCAGTAAACTTTCTGGCCTTTTCAGTATCAAGTGGAGACCCGCTCCCGCTGAAGTTTAGTTTTGCTGGAATTGTGTTTCTTGAACATTTTACAGGTGAGGAAAATGGAGTAGAGAAAAGCTCAGTCGCTTGGCACGTTTAGTAGAAAGTCAGTACCAGCAGCCCCTGGCTCGGGCCTTGAGTGCTGAAGGGGCTCGCGCCCAGGTGGGGTGGTTTGTTACCTAGAACCCAGTCCCCCGGAGAGTTGAGGAAAGAGATGACAACTCAGCTCCATCAGACACCGTGGAATTTCGGTATTTCAGTGTCTGGTCTGCTGCAAGGTGGAGGTTGTGCTCTAGAATACATTTACCAGGAGGAGTGTGTTTTTAAGTATCTGGCCACTTGACCAAATAAATGTATTTTCCAACCTCTGCCCCCTAAAAAAAGCAGGGCAGAGAGGTTGTTTGTAGCCTGTAAAGACAGTAGTTACAAAGTGAGGGGGAAAAAGATGTTGTAATGTCTTTATAGTAATAGTGCTTTGTAAGTTTTCAGCCACTTTTCTTCACACAGAAACAAATGCTAGCTGGTTTGCTTGTGATCTGTGAGAGTGTGCACCCATTGTTTCCACACTAGGAACAGTGCAGAGGCATCAAGATTAAGACGTGACAGCATTTTCTCTGCTGTCTTTGCTCAGAGTAATATTGAGGTGATGCTTTTAGGAAAAGTAAGAGTCCCAGACAGGAGCCCAAAGTTTTGCAGCAACTGGCGGGCCTGCCTGTGGCTAGCATGAGCATGATCTCTTGGAGTGTTTGGGGAAACAGGGAGAGCTGAAACATTGTGTATGCTGATGTGTGATGCCAGACAGCACTTTGTGATTGTATTTTGGGACAAGCTCTTAAGAAGACACATTTTTGTTGGAGATTTGGATGGTGCATCCACCTTAGTCCCCTTTCCTTAGTCAGTGGTTCTCAACCTTCTGGCCCTTTAAATACAGTTCCTCATGTTGTGACCCAACCATAAAATTATTTTCGTTGGCCAAAACCGGTTTGGCTCAGTGGATAGAGCGTCAGCCTGCGGACTGAAAGGTCCCAGGTTCGATTCCGGTCAAGGGCATGTACCTGGGTTGCGGGCACATCCCCAGTGGGAGATGTGCAGGAGGCAGCTGATCGATGTTTCTCTCATCGATGTTTCTAACTCTCTATCTCTCTCCCTTCCTCTCTGTAAAAAATCAATAAAATATATTTTAAAAAAATTATTTTCGTTGCTACTTCATAACTGTAATGTTGCTACTGTTATGAATCGTAATGTAAATATCTGATATGCAGGATGGTCTTAGGCGACCCCCGTGAAAGGGTCGTTCGACCGCCAAAGGGGTCGCGACCCACAGGTTGAGAACCGCTGCCTTAGGTGGAAGATGTTTGGCCTGTTCTGGAGTGAAAGTAAGGCTGCTGTTTCTGCCATGCCTCTTGTTTTCTCATCAACTTAGATGGTGCATGCTAATAAGATGCACAGTGCTGATGTAGACAGAAAGATAACTGAACAAGCACTGGCTGAGTTACCTACACTGGATCTGGAACTGTTTGGGGAGGAAAACAAGAAAGGAGGATGACAGAAGACAAGGAACACATGCCAAGTGCCATATTCTGTGTCAAACTTTGGGCCAGGAGGCATTTTTACTTCAAATTATCTCATTTCACACTGTTACAAAGTGAGAGGGGGGAAAGATGTTTTAATGTCTTTATAGTAATAGTGCTTTATACGCTTTCAGCCACTTTTCTTCACGCAGAAACAAATGCTAGCTGGTTTGCTTGTGATCTGTGAGAGTGTGCACTCACTGTTCTCAGAACACACTCTTAGGTGGGAGTTTATCCCCATTTGCCAATTCTGAAACTAAGGCTCAGAGACAGTGCACGAAAATTCCAAATGGAAGACGGGGCCCTGAGCGCAGGCAATAAGTGGGGCCTTGACTTTAGAGGGTTTGAAATCACTAAAGGTCTGCTTTTTATCCTCTCTGTGCATTGGCAGTGGTAAACAACGCCTGTGACAAGCAGCTCTGTGAGACCCCAGCCATAGGAATCCCCCCCAGGGCTGGCTCTGCTCACCAGTCTGAGCCTCGCACCCCCCACCCCCAGGGCTGGCTCTGCTCACCAGTCTGAGCCTCGCCAAACCACTGTCCCGCTTTTTGTCCCCACTCCTTGTGGCATTTCCTGCACTGTCACTCTGGGTCCGTCATCTCCCTGGCTAAGATCATAAACTGCCATTTATCCCCATGGAGCCTGGAACAAAAGTTCACCCAGCAGATATTTACTGAGAAATACTTAAGTTGATAACCAACCAGTTCACAGTCCTCTGTCCAGACAATTTAAGTGAGATGACTTGCCTTCATCCAAGAGGACCAGTGTCCAAGAGGTGATGTTTGTCAATTTTATAAGGACCTGGAGGGTGAAAAGGTTCAAGAATGACTGATGGTGACTGTAGCAGAGGGGATTGGGTGGGAGACTCCACTTGCTGCCCTCCTGCCCACGGGGTCAAACCCAATTTCTTAGCCCAGAGTGAGGCCCCCTCCCCTTACAGGATGGGTCCCAGCCTCTGCCCAGCCTTATTACAGATCCTCTCCTATTACATACCTATTATATTACCTGCACTTCATCCAGCCCCCTCTTTAGTTCCTTCCCCAAGAGCTATGCTTTCTATGGCTTCTGCCCTCCTGCCACTCCCTCTGGCCAGAATGCCCTCCCCACACCCCACATGTTCACATTTCATTTAAAACAGCTACCTTATATCGAGAACCCATTACAGCCAACACTTGCTTAGGTCCATTACATATTCTACCTTATTTATTCCTCATAACAACCCTTTGAGTTAGTGTCATCCCATTCTACAGGTAAAGAAACTGAGACCCAGAATGGTTAAGTCACAAGTCTAGTTAGAAGTGGAACTGGGATTTAACCACAGGCCTCTCTTAAAGGCAAGCTTTCTCTACCACCCCCTATAGAGAGGAAGCTTTTCAGACCAGAAGCTCCTCTTGCAGTAGAGAAGTAACTCCACTGTGCTCCCCAGTCCCCTAGAAGGCAAAGACTGTGCCCCATTGACTTGGTAGCCCAGGCCTAGCACATGGAGGAGTTTAGTAAACATTTATGCTCAGACTGTGGTATCCTGCCATTTGCCTTAAAAAACAGATGATAAAACAGGCTATAAATAGATCCCTAGCATGAATATACTAAATTAATTGACTGTTACTGAGTGGTTGTGGTCTTAAGCCCAAACAAAAGACACAAAACTGGCCCTGGCCAGTGCAGCTCAGTTGGTTCTGATTGTCCCATGCACCAAAGGGTCACTGGTTTGCAACAGTTTGACTCCTGGTCAGGGCACATGCTGGGGGTTTTTGTTTGTTTTTTGTTTTGTTTCTCCCTCTCTCTCTCTCTCTCTCTCTCTCTCTCTCTCTCTCTCTCTCAAAAAAAGGACACAGAATTCAATAGTGATTCTGCTTAAAGTAGACCAGAAACCTTGAAAGTCAAATTTCTCATTAACCAGCAAGCAATTCTCTAATATTTATCTAAATTCTTCCTTCCCTCTCTCCCTTTTTTCCTTCTCCCTCAAATTAATTCATTCACTCCTTGGTGGTTTTGGCTTTATTTTTATAGGACATATTAAAATAGTAGGTTCACTCTTCCTTGGTGTGAGGGCATTTTTGAGGCATTCCTATCCCTTTGTCAGGAATATTCTCATGTTTTTCTGCTGGTCACCTTTCTACCCCTCCATCTTTCTAATTCAGCATTTCTCAGTTTCTTACATCTAAAAGGAGCAGTGTGGCCCTAGCCGGTTTTGCTCTATGGATAGAGTGTAGGCCTCTGGACTGAAGGGTCCCAGGTTCGATTCTGGTCGAGGGCACATGCCCGGGTTGCGGGCTCGATCCCCAGTAGGGGGTGTGCAGGAGGCAGCCAATCAGTGATTCTCTCTCATCATTGATGTTTCTCTCTCTCCCTCTCCCTTCCTCTCTGAAGTCAGTAAATATATGTGTATATTAAAAAATAAATAAATAAAAGGAGCAGTGTGCTGTGACCCTAACCTACAGCTTTCAGCAGCTCTGAATCCGCTCCTTTTCCGAAGTGTTTCTGTCCAGTCTCCTTCCCTGTGCCCTTCTCCTCCTCCCTCAGTCCGCTCACCTCTGTCCTTGTCACCCTCACAGACGGGAACTCAGGGGAGCCTGAAGCTGGAGCTCCACGGAGTCAATGGAGCCACCAGCACCCTGGGTTCCTAATCTTCCTACTCCTCATGTTGGACACACATCCCTTTTCCCCCTTGAAATTCCCTCTTTCTTTCTCTCTTTCTTTTTTAAATTGAGGTAAAATTTACATAGCATAAAATTAACCACTTTTAAGTATGCAATTTTGTGGTGTTTATACATTTGCAATGTTATGCAACTATCACCTCTGTCTAGTTCCAAGCCATTTCATCACCCCAAAAGGAAACCCTGTATTCATCAAGCGCTCGGCCCTCATTTTCCCTCTCCCTCGAAACCACCCATTTGCTTTTTATCTCTGTGGGTTTTCCCTCTGCTCCATGTTTCATATAAATGGATTCATACTGTGTGTGGCCTTTTGTGTCTGGGGAACTACCCTTTAATTTTCCTGAGAGCCTGGGCTCCCTTAGCTCCTGGGTACACACAGAAACTCCTAGAAGAGTCATTAGGAACCACGGCCTTAGTTTATTTTTGACCGTGATGCTAGGCCACAGTTTTAACATTCAGAGTTTTCTGGGTTTTGTTTTGTTTTTCCTATTTTGTGGTTTCTTTCATTTTGCTTTTTGCCCTCTCTTGCTTAGGCCTACCAGGGCTGAGGAACCTTTTTTCTGCCAAGGGCCATTTGGATATATATAACATCATTCCTGGGCCCTACAAAATTACCAACTGAAAAATTAACCCTCTATTTTGGTCAAACATTTAATAGACTCACCTCTAATGCCTTAGCAGGGCCAGACCACATGATTTCTTGGGCCTATACGGCCCGTGGGCCGGTAATTCCCTACGCCTGGTCTCAGACCAGCAGAGTAAATGGCTGTCTCTGTAGGCTCAGGTTGTTATTTCTGGATTTGAGCTTCTACTTCCCCCAAATAC